TGTTGGAATTCATGCCTGAATACAAAAATTAATTTCTTAGTTTAGTTAAACATTTTCTCTTTTCCACCCAAACACTCAGGGTGACATTTATGGCTTTTCTTAGAAAATAGAGACGTGAAGAAAAACAGTCCTCATGGTGAGTCACAAAGGAGAGGCTGAAGAAAATTGAAACAAGGGCCTTTTGTCAAATGGGTCCAGAGAGTGAAAACTCTCATGACTTTTAGTTAGTCGTCCTAGAGACTTCGTTGGAGAAAGATATACCTTCTGCGTGCGATCATTAAAGAGTTTTACTTTGAAGAATAAAACTAATGTGTCTTTATTGAGTATTCCTACACATAATCCAACACCGATGTTCACCATCTGTCTAATACTATTAATTAAAAAAATTATAACTTTGTTGGTGAATGTCAATTCTCAAGGTCATCGCCAAATTCACTTGGCACCCTTAACACTAGCCATGCAAGTTCTAATATTCGTACTCTCTTGCGTGATTTTAGTTTTGGCGCATTCTTTTAGTTGTTCATTTAACGCCTTCATCCAAAAATTTGTCAGTTGATAAATAAACATTATTAAAAAAATAGCTGCATTGGTAGAGCAACGAGTTGGTAATCTGAAGGCTGTGGGTTCAAATCCCCTCGTGGGCATTATCCTTGGTATCGCAATAACGGCTTTCAATAAAAATATTGAGGTAATAAAGCTTATTCATTACAACTTTAATTTTTTTTTTCGAATGAGAAATGGAGAATTTTTTATTGTCATTGGATGAATTATTTTTACCATCATTTCTAGTTTAATCGTTCTTCTTCTCAGTTTTGTGTGAAAGTAATTAATAAAACTTTATTATCTTTGCATTTTGTTCTCAATGAAAGCTCCAAAATAACTATTTTAACAATTGTGGCCACTGAAAGTAAATCAATGTAATTGTAGAGGGGAAAATGGAAATATTAAATTCGAGACGAGGTTCAATAAATGTTAAACGTATTTATTCTCAACTTTGTACTAATGATTAACAAGTCTTTATTAATTTTGCTCTCGTAGAAATTTCAATATTTTTTATAAAAAAATTACAGTTACATTTGAGTTGTTCAATCATAATAGAAAATAAAAAAATGTATTTTTCCTGCGCAAAAAGAACTGAAAAATGAACTGAGAACATGTCTGCATAATTGTTTGAACTGAAGATGAACTTGAAGCTTTGATAAACTAGGAAAAGAAAATATTGAGTTTTGGAGAAACTACTCGACTCAATTCACGAAAGATTAGGAAAAACTGAACACCCGAACAATTTATTGATTTCTGTCTCCTGAAATTCCAGTATTTTGCTTCAAAAATTTGTCACATTCGAGTTGTAGATCCAAACCAGAAAATAAAAAAAAATATTTTTCCTGCGAAAGGAATATAATTGAAAAATAAATCGTACGCCATAACTTCGTTGCGTAATTGTTCGAACTGACGACAAAACTTGAAGCCTTTACGAAATAAAAAAGAAAACATTGACTTTGTTTTTATCATAAGATTGACAACTCCAGAAATAACTTGCGCAAAACAAGTCACGATATTTTCCGACGCAAGGCACGTACTTATTATTCCCGATAAAACTAGAATACGAAGAGGAGGAAACTTTAATCTCTAAACTTTGAACTACCGAAATAAACTTTTAACAGTTTTAACTCTCGGCCAGCGAAGAGCGAGGTGATTGAATGACAATGAGGCATTGAATTTGTGAATTGTCGATGGGATTTGATCTAGAACATCTCGAGGCTGTCGTCGTCCTCTGAGTTGTCATCCTCGTAGCCCCCCGGGATTGGCGCCTTCTTCGGATTCCACTGGGAACTTCCATTTCTGTGGAATCCTGGCGCCTTGAATCGTTCCCCATTGCTGTACAGCTGCGACTGACCTTCAGACTTGATCAGCTTTGCTGTGGTGTCCTTGACGGGGGTCACGAGGTCCACCTCTTCAACATTGAGATTCAGCTTCTAAAGCGAAAAAGCAAAAACATTAGGTTTTTTTTTACTGATGAAACATTAGGTTTTTTAATGATGTTTAAGGATATCCAAGTCTCTGGCTATTTTTTCTGTACTGAAAAAAAAAAACAGGTTTGTTTTACTGATGAAACATTAGGTTTTTTAGTGATGTTTAAGGATATCCAAGTCTCTGGGTATTTTTTCTGTAATGAGAAAAAAAAAAAAAAAAAAAAAAAAAAAAAAAAAAAAAAAAAAAAAAAAAAAAAAAAAAAAAAAAAAAAAAAAAAAAAAAAAAAAAAAAAAAAAAGTCAAACATTAGAGCTTTCATTTGAACCCCACTTGACCCCAAGTTTCCAGACATTTTACAATGATTTTATTATTTAAACTTTGCAACACCAAATTTCAATGTTGATATTGAACCGTTAGAAAACCTATTTTTTCTGTAGTGAAAAAAAAAAAACAGGTTTGCTTTACTGATGAAACATTAGGTTTTTTAGTGATGTTTGAGGATATCCAAGTCTCTGGGTATTTTTTCTGTAATGAAAAAAAAAAAAAAAAAAAAAAAGTCCAACATTAGAGCTTTCATTTGAACCCCACTTGACCCCAAGTTTCCAGACATTTTACAATGATTTTGTTATTTAAACTTTGCAAGTCTAAATTAGAATGTTGATATTGAACCGTTAGAAAACCTTTTAAGAATCTGAAAAAAAATTGGAAAGTTCATTTTTAGAGAAAGATTGATGGAATGATTTAAAAATTGCAATTTTTTGAGAATTACGAGCATTTTCTGTAAATAATTTCCGAATGCTTAAAAAATAATAAGGGATCGAGAAGGGAAATATTCGCAGGAAAAAAAATATTTCATGTAAAACAAATAGTGAAATAGTGACATAAAATAGTAAATACTAAATTTTCTGTTTCGTTGAAGTGAAATATCAAAAAGACATAAATAAATACTATTCGATCGACCAAAATAGTCAACTTGAAATATACATTTCAAATAGTATTTAATCGTCCTGAACCATTTGGAATAGTATTTCTATTTGATTTTCATAAAACAGTCGCCCTCTGCCTTTGAATAAACCAAGAGTGATACCTTAGGTGTCGTCAGATCAATTTCTTCAATAGCACCTGGCTGCATGTTTCCTGGTGTCATTACGCTCAATACTTTGGAAGACGTCGTGGGAAGAGGAGATCTGAGTGCCGTGGGACTCGTTGAACTGTCGTGACTCGGTTTGGATAACGATAGAGTCGAACTGGCAGCTGACCAACTGTCTTCAATGGGTACTGCCAGATTCTCAAGTACCAGTTGTTTTCCAACATTCAGATCCTATTCAACAAATAAACATGAATCACTGAATACACAAATCAATCGGCAAACCACGAGAGATCGACTGATTACCAAATTGTCATTCCTATCAAACAGATCGACACAAGGGATGGGGGATCCCTCCCTTCTTGACGTGCCCTGCCCTGAAGTTCGTTCTTTGAACCCACGGACTTTGGCAATTAATACTTTCCACTGGGCGGAGTGCACCAACTCATTAAATCTGTCGCATGCCTCTTGACTCCATTCTTCATCCCTGCGAAATTGAAGGAATAATTGGGAGATGAAGATGCAAAATTGCCACTGAATTGAATATTGCAAGCAAAATCCGTAGCGAAGCGGTAAAAAGTGGATTTTGACTATTGGGGGGATTCTTCAATGAATATCTCCGGATCTAAGGCAGATGGCTCAATTTTTGTCATAACCTTTTTTGTAGAGCGGATGAAGATCTACAATAAAGGTTCTTACGAAAATTTCTCTATCTCCCTCAGATTCAGAGATATCTCTCGAAAACTCGGTTTGGTACAGACCGCAGGTCAAGGGGGCCAAAAAGGGTCATATGAATTATAATAAAGGTCAGAATAATCACGAGGGTCAGATTAAGGGTCACAAGGGTGTAAATAAGGGTCATGGGGGTCAATGGAGCTCTCTCTATATTATCAAGATTCAAATCGACTCCTGATAATGACAATTTGGTTCTCAAAATTAACACCAAAATTAAAGGTTCGGAAATGAAGGGTCGCAAGGGCCAGAATAAGGGTCAAGGGGAGTCAAAATAAGAGTCATAAGAGTTGTAATAAGCGCCAGAATAATCACAAAGGGTTACGAGGATCAGATTAAGGGTCACAAGGGCCTAAAGAAAAGAAAATATTGAGTTTTGGAGAAACTACTCGACTCAATTCACGGAAGTTCGGAAATGAAGGGTCACAAGGGCCAGAATAACGGTCAAGGGGAGTCAAAATAAGAGTCATAAGAGTTATAATAAGCGCCAGAATAATAACAAAGGGCCACGAGGATCAGATTAAGGGTCACAAGGGCCTAAGGGCCGTGACGGTAAAAATAAGGGTCATGGGAGTCATATGGGGCTCTCTCTATATTATTAAGATCCAAATCGACTCCTGATAATGACAATTTGGTTCTCAAAATTAACACCAAAATTAAAGGTTCGGAAATGAAGGGTCGCAAGGGCCAGAATAAGGGTCAAGGGGAGTCAAAATACGAGTCATAAAAGTTATAATAAGCACCAGAATAATAACAAGTGCCACGAGAATCAGATTAAGGGTCACAAGGGCCCGATAAGGGTCAAGGGGGGCCAAAATAAGGGCCACATGGGGGGTTGACGAGCGAAGCGAGCAGGGGGCGTAGCTTTAAATCAAAACACAAGTCTATCAAATGATTCAATTAATTATTGAGAAATGGATTCGCCCCGTGAGATTAACAACTCCATGCAAAACGTAAAAGCCCTCTCAATCACAGTTCAATCACTATCGGCTGACGGGGGAATAAACTTCGTCACCGCAGGCTTAATGAATAATGCATACAAGATTTCCCCGGTGAATAAACCACAATCCAGTAAATCCTCCAGGTGCCTTAGGACGCAAATCGCCAGCGCTTCTCTCACCGCATTAATTATCAGGTACGGTTACATCGAGATTCTCCGCAGTTTCTGCAGTCCCACGATGAGATCTGTTGTGGATGACTTCCGGTAATAGTAAGTATCGTCACGACTTTATGATCAGTTTATTTTCGAATGCCTCGACATGCCCACCAGATTCCCAAGTGCGCGCGCCCACATCAATGGCTTTTTTTTTTTTTTTTTTTTTTTTTTTTTTTTTTTTTTTTTTTTTTTTTTTTTTTTTTTTTTTTTTTTTTTTTTTTTTTTTTTTTTTTTTTTTTTTTTTTTTTTTTTTTTTTTTTTTTTTTTTTTTTTTTTTTTTTTTTTTTTTTTTTTTTTTTTTTTTTTTTTTTTTTTTTTTTTTTTTTTTTTTTTTTTTTTTTTTTTTTTTTTTTTTTTTTTTTTTTTTTTTTTTTTTTTTTTTTTTTTTTTTTTTTTTTTTTTTTTTTTTTTTTTTTTTTTTTTTTTTTTTTTTTTTTTTTTTTTTTTTTTTTTTTTTTTTTTTTTTTTTTTTTTTTTTTTTTTTTTTTTTTTTTTTTTTTTTTTTTTTTTTTTTTTTTTTTTTTTTTTTTTTTTTTTTTTTTTTTTTTTTTTTTTTTTTTTTTTTTTTTTTTTTTTTTTTTTTTTTTTTTTTTTTTTTTTTTTTTTTTTTTTTTTTTTTTTTTTTTTTTTTTTTTTTTTTTTTTTTTTTTTTTTTTTTTTTTTTTTTTTTTTTTTTTTTTTTTTTTTTTTTTTTTTTTTTTTTTTTTTTTTTTTTTTTTTTTTTTTTTTTTTTTTTTTTTTTTTTTTTTTTTTTTTTTTTTTTTTTTTTTTTTTTTTTTTTTTTTTTTTTTTTTTTTTTTTTTTTTTTTTTTTTTTTTTTTTTTTTTTTTTTTTTTTTTTTTTTTTTTTTTTTTTTTTTTTTTTTTTTTTTTTTTTTTTTTTTTTTTTTTTTTTTTTTTTTTTTTTTTTTTTTTTTTTTTTTTTTTTTTTTTTTTTTTTTTTTTTTTGGCCTCACATGCGAAAGGTTCCGAGTTCGACTCCCGGCCGGGTAGAATGGTGCGATCTAACCATTTAAAGTCTTGATCATCCTCGCAGTATACCCTAACCGGCTCGAAGCGATGTAAAATGACGATTAAAAAAAAATCGCGCATTTTAATTGCAATTTCATTGAGTTTAGCTGTTCAGGCTCAACGATATCCCGAATATAGCTTCGGTGTTTCAATTGTTCCAATGATCGCATTAATCCTGACGAATAGATCGACGCATATAGGTAACACGAGGCAAGCTATTCCATTTATAAAGTACGCGTACGACACTGGGGCGATACGTGCCAGAGAAAAACAAGAAATTTAACAAAGAGGGACACAGACCTCTCGAACGAACTCAGTCGTGTCTTTGTATCGGTATCGGTAACAAGACCCTTCTGGGGCCTCCGAAAAATTAATTTCATTCGATCATATTTTTTCATTGCAAAAATGGATAATCACTCTTCATCTATTATTCTAAAACCAGAGTAATCCGGAATAAATGTTTGCACGAGCAACATTTGTCGAATGGATGACTAAATATTATTTTATTCAGTTGTGAATCATCGTGACTGGAAAAATCAATAGACTTCTGTGCAATTTACCACTGACAATCTGTCACACGTACGCGGTAATTAATATCCAGTGTGCAATTAATCTCGGATTGGCTTATCGATCCCTCGTCATCGTTAATTTCACGTGAGGTAAGTCAAGGACTAGTGTTCCAGACTGGGGTTTAACGTGTGGTAATTCAACGTGTTGGGAATGATGATCGATTCTGGGAGGATGCACACGCGATTGATAATTCATATTCATTCAGCCCCCCTTTTAAAATCGTGGATTGATGCAATTGAGGAACTACAGAAATTCCCGAAATACGGGAGAACAGACCGTTGGAATCTGTTGGTTGCACGCCAGCGGAATTGTATCACAAATGAGACAATGATTTACGACTCCACGAACAGCAGCCGACGAAAGCCTCTTCACATCTCTCTATATTATAAAAATGAAAAATCGACTTCTGGTAATAAAAATTTGGCACTCAAAATTAAGACTCGAGAATTAAGGGTCCCAAGGATTAAAATCAGCGGTATTAGGGTCAGAGTGAGGGGCATGAGGGCAGAATAAGGATCATGAGGGTCCGATTAAGGGTCGTGAGAGTGAGAAAAAGGGTCATAAGGATCAAAATAGGGTCATGAGGGCAGAATAAGGATCATGAGGGCTAGAATAAGGGTTGTGAGAGTTAGAAAAGGGGTCACAAGGACCAAAATAGGGCCATGAGGGCAGAATAAGGATCGTGAGACTGAGAAAAAGGGTCACAAGGATCAAAATAGGGTCATGAGGGCAGAATAAGGATCATGAGGGTCCGATTAAGGGTCGTGAGAGTGAGAAAAAGGGTCACAAGGACCAAAATAGGGTCATGAGGGCTAGAATAAGGGTCGTGAGAGTGAGAACAAGGGTCACAAGGACCAAAATAGGGTCATGAGGGCTAGAATAAGGGTCGTGAGAGTGAGAACAAGGGTCACAAGGACCAAAATAGGGTCATGAGGGCTAGAATAAGGGTCGTGAGAGTTAGAAAAAGGGTCACAAGGATCAAAATAGGGTCATGAGGGCAGAATAAGGATCATGAGGGTCAGAATAAGGGGCGTGAGAGTTAGAAAAAGGGTCACAAGGATCAAAATAGGGTTATGAGGGCTGAATAAGGATCATGAGAGTTAGAAAACGAGTCACAATGATCAAAACAGGGTCATAAGAAACAGAATAAGGGTCACGAGGGTCAGAATAATGGTCACAAGGGTCCGATAAGAGTCATGAGAGTTAGAAAAAGGGTCATGAGGATCAAAATAGGGTCATAAGGATCAGAATAAGGGCGCGAGGGTAAAAATAAGAGTCATTAGGGTCAGAATCAGGGTCATAAGGGACAGAATAAGGGTCACGAGGGTCAGATTAAGAGTCATGAGTTAGAAAAAAAGACACGAGGGTCAAAATAAGGGTTACAAGGGTTATAATGAGGGTCAGATTAAGGATCACAAAGGTCAGATTAAGCGTCTAAATAAGGGCCATGGGGTCAGAAACTAAGGATCACGAGGGTTATAGTGAGGGTCAGATTAAGGGTCTAAATAAGGGCCATGGGATCAAAAACTACGGGTCACCAGGGTCAAAATAAGGGTCAGGTTAAGGGTCATAAGGCGTATAATGAGGGTCAGAATACGGATCATGACCGCCATACACGGATTATGTGTAGGTCATACAGGGTCATATAGTTAATCAACAAAATGTCACAAAATCCACAAGAAAATAAAAAATCACTCATTTAACTTCCATTTGAACCCGAAAACTCCTAACTTTAATTCACATTCGCAGTATCCCCTAACCGGGTCGAAGCGGTGTAAAATAACAATAAAAAAAAACTTTAATTCACCGACCAAAAAAATGATATCGTGCAGACACTTTCAGCGATAGGCACGAAAATTAAGTTGGTTAATTTTCCGCGTGCCAGTTGCCTCACACAAACCCCCTCCAAAATTATGATTCCACTTGCTTGTTTCTGCGCATTCCCCGTGATCAATTGATGAATTAATGAGTGAATGACTGAAAACATGAGTGAATGTTTCCACCTTCACCGCATTTTTGCACCAAGGCCGATGGAAAGTGGGGGATAATGAACCTTCTCTATTACAGAAGAGCGTTAGAGTGATTCTGATACTCTCGACATGGAACTGCTCGTCCCAACGGTCTCGGACATTGTCTTCAAGTACTCATGGCCCATCAAGAATTACAAGAAAACAGTTGCCAAGAAGACTTCCATTGACAGTCCCACCTTCGATCTTAATGTCAATGGGATACGGAGTTCGTGGAGTCTGTCGATTAGGTTCTGGAAGGGCCCAGAAGGCAAGTATCCACTGAATCCGGAGAACAGCGGATTTAATAAATTGACAATTCGCAGGGAAGAGGATCACAAATCCAGTGGTTTTGTGCTTAAACATGCTCAGCTGCTCCATTGAGGAGGTCGAGCAGGCTAAAATACGATTTCAATTCGCTGTTTTTAACGCTAATGTCAATCACTGGGAGTACTGTCAAGTCAGCAGAACAATTCTTGAACTCAAAACAACGTCTGACATTATTTCACTGGGGTACAGGGACCTCTCGATTGTTGATCGGCATTATAAGAGGAATGGGGAGGTCTCGGTCATGGTGAAAATACAGATTATTCAGTGTGAAATTGAGAAGAACAGTCTGGCACAGGTAAAGTTTGGGGAATTGAGGTAATTAGCGCAAGGGAATGGAATTAATATGAGGTATTCCACGCCAAATGAGCCGACCGTTGACCCTCACTCTCTTGGACATTGATGACGATTTTTTCTACGATTCGCGGGGTTCAAATACTATCTCTCAAATTTTTTCACAATTTTTCGACGGCCCAGTTTAGGGATATGATTTTTTTTTTCCGCTTTTTTTTAATAACTCGAGTTCTATTCATCCGATTTTGAGTTATTAAGCGTCGAAATTTTTCATTTTTTACTGCCTATAAGAATGTTTTGAGTACAATTTTTTTTCGATCTCTAGATGCTCATAATAACGATTTTTCGAAAAAAAAAGTTGAAAAAGTTGAATTTTGCAAATTATGTCACTTTATTTGTTTTATTTTTTTCAGTAATTCTTATTATCAAAACAAGTATTTTGAGGTATCATAAGAGTTGGGCATCTTCCTGGATCTATTTTATTTTCAATTTTTTCCTTTCGAAATTTCGCAAATTTGGTCAAAACGCCCCAAGAGGGTGACGGTGAAATACCTCATATTCAACCGTCGATAACTCGAGATCGGCTGAGTGAAATTTAAAAATTTTATTTCCACATTAAAGATATTTTTTCAGGCTTCAAAATGACCCCCGATTGATCGAAATTGTGTCGTTTAATCCGGAGATATCGACGATTAACGAGGAAGCTTTCTACTGATTCCTCCAGACCCATTGGGATAAAAATCTCAGAAATTCGAGAATTCACGGAATTTAATTTTCAGGACATGGCAAGATTATTGAAGCACCCCAAGTCCGCAGATACGAAGTTGACCTGCGGTGGTGGCACAGCCCACACTGAAATTCCAGTGCACGCAAGCGTCATTGCGGCGAGGAGTGACGTATTAGCTGATATGATTGCACCAGTGGTACAAAATGACAATCAGCCGAGCTCTCATCAAGGCCAGAGAGATGCCGAGAAGAATGAGACGAATGTATGAAGTGGCATGAGATTTTCCAGTTGATGCGATCGTTTCGTAATATTTCGACTAAAGCTGGCATGTTTTGCTGAATTGAGTGTTGCCCTCAGCAGGGATAGCCATATTCATAAATTATAATTACCGTTAAATTATTAAGTAGCGAATTCGCTAATATCACTCTTAAATTTTAATTGTTGGAGTGATCATCAATTTAAAATATTCAACTTCCGAATTATTCATTAATCAGTAATTTAGTTAGGGAGATTGACGATTATTTGGATAATCGAAAATCCCTTTTAAGAAATTTAGTATTATTTACTTGATAAAAAATTTACAGTTCGATATTACCAAATATTTAATTATTTATTGTAATAAATAATTACAATAAATAATTATTTAAATATAATAATAATAAGATATTTATTTATTGTAAATAAATTATTCATAATTAAATAATTTATTACAATAAATAATTGAATAATTATACACAATAAATACTATAAATATTGAATTATTTATAATTAATTCATCATCAACTGAAAACTGAGATTACCAATGATTTTACTATTTTTAAATATCGATTGATGGCCATCCCTGGCCCTCAGAAATCAAATAATGCATTTATACCATTTACTTCGCCGAATACATGACGATTATTTTCGCTTTGGTTGTTGTTATTTTAGATTTATCTAGATCAAAATGATTTTTCCAGCCGCCAGCATAATGACAAATATTTCTCCTACTTCTCCAGGCCATTCTGCGGTTCTCAGCGATTTTACTCTCCAATTCCATTAAAAACACAAATCTTCACTACTTGCCGACGTTTCGAGCGGTATATCCACTCCCCATCAGGGCAATTTATTCATTTTTTTTTTCATTTTTATTTTTTTTCATCTACAAAAAATTTAAAAAAAATCTTATTACTATATCTCCATACAGAGACATTAAAGAGAGATTTAGATTTTGTGAATGAAAACAGGTAAATTGTGTTATAAAAAAAAAAAAAAAAAAAAAAAAAAAAAAAAA